CATGGCAGCTCAGTATCCAAGTGGGTTCCCTAGTAAGGGGAAGAGGGACTGTCTCTGACATGAACTCAGTGGCTGGCTCTTTGACCTCCCTACCTCCTGTGGGAGGAGCAGCCTTTCTAGGCCACAGAGGAGGACACTGCAGCCAGTCCTGATGAGACCTGATAAGCTAGGGTCAGATGGAAGGGGAGGAGGACCTCACCTATCAGTGGACTTAGAGAGGGGCAGGGAGAAGATGAGGGAGGGAGGGTGGGATTGGGAGAGAATGAGGGAGGTGGCTACAGCTGGGACACAGAGTAAATATACTGCAATTAATATAAAAAATAAAAATTTAATAAAAAAGTCTTGTTTTCAAAGAGGCACTCTCAGATTCCTTTCTATAAGAACATTTACATCTGAACCAGAACCAAAGCCCTTCTCTTAGTTTAGGCCCAGGGTAATGGCTGAGCATTCATTGGTCTGTTACTGTACTGATCTTAAGGTTTCTGTATTTTAAGAAAACAGAGGTAAGTCAAGCACCATCTTTGGGATGGAACCTTTCTCACCAGCCAGCACTTACAGGTCTATGGAGTTATTTACTATGTTAAATTATTTGTATTCCATCAAGAAGACTCAATCATTAGCCAGGCAGGGGACAAACGTGTAAGAGGAGCACTTAAAGGGCTTCTTGGGTGGGCAGTACATAAAGGGTAAATGATCATTTTCCTTCCTGGGCCAGGGGGACAGGCATAAATCATGTAGGTGGTCCATTAGTTTAGCTTATGATACCGCAGAGAACTGATCGATTTCAACAGAGTCTTTTGAATCAGTCTTTCTCCACTTTCTCCCATGGCCATAAAAAAATTCCTTAGACAATGGAATACAATGGCTTTTTTCTTTGAAACCTCTCTCATCCTCAGAAATTTCTCTTGCTTCTCTTAAATTATCACTTTTCCTAAATTCTCAGTTTTCCTCAATTCTGGCAGTGCAACATTATAAAAATATCTCTTACATTCTAAGACTGAAAGTTTTTCTGGACTTCTTAGCAAAATTAATAATACACATTAATGTCACTTAATATTTAAGACTGATTACTGTGTACTCAAACTAATTTGCCTTTAAGAACAATGTAACAACCAACCTTATTTGCCTTGGATTCCCCAGGTAATCAACTTTCACAACCTAAGCTAACGCACAGCTACAATCTTAAATTATTTATTCTTCCATGCCCCTAACCTATTACTACACATGTGTATCATTTGCTGAAAGCAGCAAATAACAGCAGTTGAAAGCAACTTCCCAAAATCAACCATAAAGGGTTGAAAGCTTCCAATTAAGGTTATTGGTTGATAAACAATGATGTCTGTTATCCTGCTCAGTTGGGATCCATTGGAGCCAGCAGTTTAATCCCTTGTAAAAACTCTATTAAAGATGTCTTTAAAGTGTCCCATTCCTTTCCCATGTGATGCTTTCTGTGTTGTTCAATAAACACAGATTAAAGCCCTTTGTTAGGGACAGAGACATATACAGAAAGAGGATGGAAGGCACAGCATGAAGCAAAGAATTCAAATCTGGGCTTGTTCTTGGTTAAATGACTCCAAGTAGAAGTGTTTTGATTTCATCCCTTAATGTGACAATGATGCATTACTGGTGATTCAATTAATCATTAACACATATAATTCAGGCATGCAATTTCTTCTTTCAGAATAATTCTTTTTCAGAAATTTTTAAATTTTATTTATTTATTGTATTTACATCATTCCCCTTCTTTTCCCTTCAACTCCTTCCATGCTTCCCCACATTCTCTCCTAAACTCATATATATGTATATATTCATATATATAATTCAATATGTAAATACATCAATATATAATACTCATAAATATAATATAAATTTAATGTTACTTAATAATTAAATATAATATTAACATTATATTTACATATAAATATAGGAAATATATAACCTGCTGAGTCCACTTAGTACTGCTCTTCTGTATGTATTTTTAGAGACAGCCACCTGTCTTTAGATAACAAACTGGAGAGCTCATCATTGCCAAAGCCTGCTTCTTCTTCTCAGTAGACATTAACTGCCTATAGAGCTTCACCTACAGCGGAGCCTTGTGAGGTTTTCTCCTGCCATGCCAATACGTCAACTAGTGTTGCCCTTATACATGCCTTGTTTAGGCAACCATATTGTTGAGATTTCTTGAATATAGCTAGCCTGTCATACATAAAAGACAGTCTCCCTAAAGACATTCTGGTACTCCGGCACTTACTATCTTGCTTCTCCTTCTTTCTCCTTATTCTTTGAACCTTAAGAGTAGGGGTTGTGTTATAGATGTATCAACTGATTTCTGCATGTTGTCATGGTCCCCATCTGCTGCAAAGAGAATCATCTTTGATGACGGGTAAGAGCTATACTACCTTTAGGTATAAAAATAAGTTTTTAGAAAAGCAGACAGAATTTATACTAGTTTAGGACAGGGCAGCAGTGGGTTCTCCTCTATGTTCCATGGTCCCACTAGCCACAGGTAGTTGGGTAGCTCTACTGTAAGAGGCATGAGCTCCTTCCTATCGAGTAGACATTAAGTCCAATCAAATAGCTGTTGGTTACCAACAGTATATGAATACCACTGTTGCTCCTGTAGGGATATGATGCCATGTTGGCCATTGATGTGGTTCTGAGCTTCATAGTCCGCTAGGACTATTAATTACTTTCCTCCCTTCGCAGGTTGCATCACCATCTAGTACTATGAAAAGTAGTCTTCAGGCAAGTAAGATCCAGCTTGCAACCTTCAGGTCTCCTGTCTGAATTGTGAGGTATCTCCAGCAAAGTCTTCCCTTAAATGCTGGGAGGCAATCAAAGGTATAATAACCTACATTGTTTTCAGAGTCTCTTGGACTCCCTTGGTCAACAAGTAGAAAGGGGGTTTCTCATGTCCACTGGAAGCTTTATTTATAGTCTATGGCTCTTGGTGTTGAGCATTATCACCGCAAATAGCATAATCTCATACAACAATAAGTGTGTGTATGCAAATATATGGATAAATATGTAATTTTATCTATACATAAAATAATAAGATTCCTGGGTTTAAAAAAAGTTAGTGCGCTCTCTCTCTCTCTCTCTCTCTCTCTCTCTCTCTCATCTCCCTCAAACGCCCAGCCAAACCCTTTCACAATTCTCCTAGTTTCTCACTTGATGGTACCTATGTTCTGCTATTTTTACTTTTCTAAAGCTCCCACAAATAGTTCCTTTTTACTTTCCTAGTTTCTACAGCTACTCCAGTTTATATGCTCAGATCTGAAAATTCTGAACTAGAAACCACAAATAATAGAGAATATTTGTCTTTCTGGGGCTAGGTTACCACACTCAGTATATAGTTCTAGCCATTTACCTGCAAATTTCATAATTATTTGCAGCTGAATAGTATTTCATTGTGTGTATGCAACATTTTCATTAGCCATTCTTCAGCTGAAAGACATTTACGTTGTTTCCATTTCCTAGTATAGTGGACACAGCAGCAATGAACATGGCATGGAATGTTCATTGCTGGAATAAGATATTAAGTCCTGTGTGCATATGCTGAGCAATGGTTCAGCTGGATCACAATAGTAGTTTTGAGAATTTTCTACACAACTTCTAGAATGACTGTGCCAGTCTGCTATCCCACTAAGAGTGAATAAAGGTTCCCTTTCCCCACATCCTTACCAGCATTTACTGTCAGTTATTTCTTGATCACCCTGGCCACTCTTACTGAGATGAGATGAAATTTCAAATTTGTTTTAATTTGTAGTTAACTTCTTTCTCTCTCTCTCTTTCTTTTCTTTTCTTTCTTTTTTCCTTAGACAGGGTTTTTCTCTAGAGCTTTGGCTGTCCTGATTCATTCTGTGGATGGAGCTGGCCTCAAACTCATAGAGATCCACCTACTTCTACCTCCCCCAGTGCTGGAATTATAGGTGTGTACCACCGTGTCCCGCTAATTTGTAATTTCTTAATTGCTGAGAATTTTAAAGACTTTTTGAAAACATTTTTGGATATTTTTATTTCTTCTTTAGAGAACTCTTTGCTCAGATCCATAGCCTACAGGGAGCAAGTGAAGTGCTGATCTAATGAAATTCTGCCTAATGAATTCTGTTTGACATAAGCTTATTGTGCCAAGGACCCCAGAACTGGAACTGCGGGTAATTGGTAAACCTGTCCTCCAGGTCAAGGACATCCTCTGTCCAAGTATGAGCTTTCACAACTATTGACCAGTGTGTCACCAAGGCTAGCAACAGCATCCTCCTCTTCCAGGATGACCACAGCCTGAGAGTGCTCATTTACATAGACTTCCTACTGGACCTAGCAGGCTCCTTCCCCTGTACTGTACATAATAAATGCACTAAGATTAGGAGTTGCAGAATTTCATCAGAGTTCACGTAGCTTACCTGACCCCAACTTTTCTGTACATGTGTCTGTCCTTTCTTTACTCTCTTACCAGCCTACTCAGGCTACCAGCCTCAAGCCTCATAGCCCATTTTTCAAATATGTCATTTGTTTCCTTGATTCTTCATTTTTTGGGGGTTCTTTATTATATATTCTGAATATTCATCCACTGTCAGATATATAACTAGCAAAGATTCTCTCCCAACCTTCTTTGTTCAATTGATGTTTCCATTGCTTTACTATTTGCTATACTAAAGTTTTTTTTTGTTTTGTTTTTTGCTTTATGAGGTTCTCTTTGTCATCTATTAGCCTTAAATCCTTAACAAATGGAGACCTATTCAGAAAAAATCCTTTCCTACATATGAATCTTATACTGTATTGCCTGTGTTTTCTTCTAGCATTTTCTGAGTTTCGGGATTAACATTGAGGTATTTGATCCATTTGGAGTTAATTTCTGTGAAGGTTGACAGATAATGGTCTACATGTCATCCTGAGCTTTCCCTATCCAATAATCCAATTCGATGCCTATTACAGAAACTACCCTCAGAGAAAAAACTGACCACGGTCAAATTAGCAGGAATACTAAGCACAATACTTACATATAGTATGTAGGATAGAGTCCTTCAAAATACCAGCAGTGTTTTTTGGCCTCTGTGCACTAGAAATAAAAGTAAAAAGAAAAAAGTAATAATTAAAAAGAAAACCTTAATCAGTAAGTAACTTGTATACTACTGAAAAGGTCTCAAGAAGTTAACAAGAAAAGCATGGCAATGGAGGAAAGACCAAAAAGCTAGCAGATGAAGCAAACAATAAATGACAGGGTGATTGCCATCTCCTCCCTTTCTCATAGCTGTTTTATATTTTAAAAACATTTTTAAAGCAGGAAAACAAAAACAACTATTTTCCTAGTTCGCTATGCCTCTACATAGACTATGTATAGACATTTCCTTAAAAGGGAAAATGAAGGACAGTTCTTTGCAGGGGTGGGGCTTAGTGCTAGGGATCAAACCTAGGGCTCTACGTATGCTAGGCAAACACTCTGAACACTGAGCTCCGCCCCAAACTCACTTCAAAATGTATGCTATTCCAGAACAATAAATAATGAATTGAACATAACACCAAGAACTCTACTTCCATAGAACTCCCCCATACCATCACTATTTCTAGATCTTTATGTTTCACAGTATCATAAAAGCCACATTGAAACTATTCAGTCCACAGTGGTGGACCCTTGTCTGTTGGAAAGTACAAGTGAGGTTTCCTTAGCAGCACATAAGAGCTCCAGACCACGTGTTCTCTTAGATGCAAGGAAGGAGAGGGCTGCCACCACTATCTGCCTTAGCCCCTCCTGCTACCCTCCTGCCCTTGGGGCTGGACCACCAAATGGCACTGACACAGGGTTCTTCTTTGATGCCCTCCTCAGCAGCTCCTCCCAAGCCATCTGTATCGCTTTGTGACTCCCCAACAACGTTACAGGGACTCCATAAACACCACGTTTAGCTGAAAAACAGGGAAGTTGCCCATGCCTTCCTTCTGCTCCTCCATTCTAGTCTTTCAGGGTACACCTAATCTGATCATTCCTGCATACTCATTTCCATTCCCTTGGGATGCACCACCATCCATGGCCACACCCAGGATGCCTCCAGTTCTCTCTTTGCTGCCCTCCAAAGAGGGAGACCTTGTATCCTACTTAAGAGACCTCCAGAGCCAGTGTCTTTTCTCCTGTCTTTGAGTGCTAGACAGTGCTAAATCTCTAATCATGATTTGCTAGTATTGTGTGAATTGCTAACTTTTTTCATAACACTGTGAAAGATTCTAAGTATCATACTTTTTCTTCATTTTAAGAAATATGGCTTGTAAGAAGCCTCATTCTCTAACCTTTAAAAATATTAAGGAGGTGCTGCTGAAAAAGGGAGTATCCTTAAAACCAAGACTGAGTAGTAAGCTCTTAGAGAACTGATGGAAGTTTAACAGGAGACTTTAAAATGCTGTTTCCCATCACTAATTGCACTTCAGAGACCCTGAGGACTTCTTAGAAGCAATATTTCTTAAAGTCAACACTCTCTCTCTCTTTTTTTAATTTAATTTAATTTTTTTCTTATCAGTTACAGGTTATTAACTCTGTATCTCAGCTGTGTCCCGATCCCTCATTCCCTCCCAATCCCCCCTCCCTCCCTCATCTCCACCATGCCCCTTTCCAAGTCCACTGATAGAGGGGACCTCCTCCCCATTCATCAGATCCTGTTTTATCAGGTATCTTCAGGACTGGCTGCAAAGCCCTCCTCTGTGGCTTAACAGGACTGCTCCTCCCTTGGGGGGTGGGGAGGCCAAAGAGCCAGTCATTGAGTTCCTGTTAGAAATAGTCCTTGTTCCCCTCACTATGGGAAACCAATTGGTTACTGAGCTACCACAGGCTACATCTGAGCAGAGGTTCTAGGTTATATTCATACATGGTCCTTGGTTGAATGACAGTCTCTGAGAAGACCCTGTGCCCAGATATATTTGGTCCTTGTAGAGCTCCTATCCTTTCCACATCATACTAACTCCCCTTCTTTCATATGATTCCCTGTACTCTGCCGAAGGTTTGGTCATGAGTCTTTGTATCTGCTTTGGAAACACTGCTAGTTAGAGTCTTTCAGATGCGCTCAGTAGACTCCTGTCATATGTTCAATGCACATCCCATCTGTCTTTCTAAATGAGGATTGATCATCTTACCCCATGACCGCTCTCTTGATAATCATTTTTAGGTGTATAGATTTCATTATGTTTGTCATATCTTATAGGTCTATATAAGTGAGTATATACCGAGTTTGTCTTTCTCCTTCTGGGATATTTCACTCAGAATGATCTTTTCTAGATCCCACCATTTGCCTGCAAATTTCATGATTTCCTCTTTTTTGATTGCTGAGTAGTATTCCATTGGTCAACACTCTCTTAAGGATGTTGTGAAAATACATACTGTAAGATGAAAATCAGTCCTAACTATATATTCCTGAAAAAATTCTGTGAGTGCTCATAACTTTATGAATACAGTTTCTCTGCCTGCTTTTGAGTTTTAACTAAAGAGATTCATGACAACAGATTTGTAAAATGTTGCAACCTGAACTCAATTAAATAAAAATCCTTATCTCTTGTACATAAAAATATTCAATAACCAAAATTAAAAGTCAAACAAAAGAAAATGTCTATACAATACGGAAAAAAGTAGTATCATTAAACAATTGAAAGGTTGACAGAAGAAAAGACTCAAGGAAATAAGGAACTGCTATGATAGAACGGGTTCAGAGAAAACCCAGGGAAGGGCTCCAGATCTGGAAATGAGAGCAACCACTGCCCTCTTACTGACTACAGATAGTTGTGAGGAGAAGAGAATGGGACTACAAACTAAAAAGCATCCTTTTCTGGCCGAAGAATGGCCCTCTGTATAAAGAATGGTGAATAGGTGAGAGCCAATCCATAAAAGCCCCATATGGTCAGTCATCATCAGGGGTCTGCAGAGGCACTAACAGGAATTTAGGAAAACAAATTACTTTAGTCTTACAATGCTTATTACTGTGGCTTGGGGAAAGTATCACCACTTAGGAACTTTTCAAAATGACTTGTCCTCGATTACAATAATAAAATAATAATTCATTAAGAAAAGGTAAGCATTTTAATTAAAGTGAACTGTTGGTATAATGTTTTCTTTTGATGTATACACCTTACCCTTGTTCATTTAAATACTGATATCTCCCCCACCCCACCCCCAACTCTCTGGTTTCAATCTGAATATTGCATTGTGATACTCATTCTAAGCATCCTGTCTCAACTTTTGTGTAAACAGGAACAAAATAAAGCAACTGGACACAATGTTGAGCAGGGAGGAGCCAGAGGACAGGAAAGGGGGGAGGAGCCAGAAGGCAGGAGAGGATGGAAGGTGAAGGAGCAGAAGAGAGTGAGGAGAGCAGAGCTGGAGGAGAGAGCTTGGAGGGCGTGGAGCATGAACCAAACCTAAGATTTCACAAAGAGCAACTATAATGTGGGAAATCTAAATGTTAGGAAACTGAGGGCTTGGAGGTTTAGGAGGCAGTAAATATTGCTCAGCATTGTGTTCCAGGTTAACTAAAAACCCAGTCTCTATGTGATGATTTGGTTATACAGCTGCTGAGGATTAACAACAGCATTACCAGAAGATAAACCAATAGTAAATATTAAAAACTCCTACAACAAATGGCGCCCAACTAATCTAAGAATTCACACCTTTTAAATCATACTTTATCATAATTTGGTGGGGGGAATAAGCTACCAGTGATGCAAACCAAACTTAAAATCTAAAAACTCCCAGGTCAGTTACTATCTCTTTAAGAGAGACTATTAAACCCGCCCAGGAGCAAAAGACAGCCTCCTGTGGGCAGACCTGAGACTTCCATAACAAAACTCTGCTGCTGCAGTTTAACTAAGGGGTAAACAAGCATGGCTCTTTTATACTGTGGTTGGCTCAACTGGCTCAGCTCCACAGCCATGGCAGGAAAGAAAGGAACTGGAGGCAGACAAACCTCTAGACAGAGTTTGGCCTAAACTGCATGTAAAATACAAATTGCCATGGCAGAGGGTGTTTTAATCTCTTTTAGCTTCATTTTGGCTGTCATATTCATGGATCCGGTTGCAATATGTTTAATGGTGTTGGTTCTTCTCTATGCCTTCTCCAAGAAAGTTCAAGGAGAAAATGGGGAAAAAGCCAAGGATTGGGGTACTAAGTTACAGACAATAGTACTCATCCAAATAATTAGGTTAATAAAGGCTAAAATTCAAAGCTCTCTGGCTGCAAAGTATCTGTCAGCTCTTTCTGGTAAGGGTCCACCAATTTATTGAAACATCAACTAAAATAATCAACTGGGATTTGTTTGTTACAGCGTAAATTGGCACAACTGATTACAAACTTAAAAATTTCTTGTCTTTTTGTTTGATTTTCATTTAAAGGCTTTGAGTTACAAATATACTGATTTGAAACTATATATATCTGAACAAGTTGGTGAAGGCACATGCCTTTCTTCCCAACACAAGATAAAAAGAAACAGGCAGATCTCTGAGTTCTGGATCAAACTTATTTACATAATAAAAGCCAGGATGGCAACTCCAGCTGTAAGTTTAGCCACTTACAGAGATAGTCTAAGATTCAAAATGTCAAAATTTTCCTTAAGGTTACCATGTAAATTCTTTTTTCTTAATAATAGCTGTTATGTCCTTACTGCTCTAAAGGTTGGATTCACATCATTTTTAAGTTTATGTAAAGAGAGATAATGTCACACTGCCCTGGAAACTGCCTTATCCTTTTAAACGTGAGACATTTTCACAGGGGAATAATGTTGGTTGTGCCTATTTAAAAAAGACACAAGAGGCTTAAAGATGACAAAATACATGCCAACCTAGTCTAGTCCTAAAAACCCAAAAATTATATTCATATGTTTAAAAAAACAAAACTGTCCACCCCATATCAAAAAGAGGGCAAGCCAAGGAATAGCCAAAACCAATGTAAAAGTCCAGGTACAAGATGCCTAGGATATACTTAATGCTAAGGGTAAAAAGAGTGTATATGCTAATGCTAAGAGAGTTTATATAAAGTCTGGCTATAAAGGCATAACTGTCCAGTCTGTATAAATAAGGGGCAAGGCAAAAAAT